TCAGCAAGAGGACTCTCGTTAAATATGCGGCGTTAATAAAAGCAAAGCAGCGCCGTAACAAGGAGATCTTGGCAAGCCGTGCATGCAAAGAAGTAATGTCTTAGTGTTCTCATTGAATAGCACTAGCAGAATGAATGGGCTACCAGTTACGCTACCAGCTACGCTACCGGGGCAACATTCATGAAATGGTGCCCGGTAGCGTAACTGGTAGCGCACTTGCCCGGAAAGCGAGAGGTGCGGGTTCTAGTCCCGCCTGGGGCGAAAGTTTTGTTCACAACCCAGCATTCTTGTAATACGATCTGCTTCTAATTCATCTGATTGTTATGGCAACTTTCCCTATAAAAGTTTCTTTAGAACCAAGAAAATATTTTGAAGCAGTTAATGGTGATGGTGTATTGATAAATGACGTCACCTACAAACGCCCTCAGTAAAGAGCACAGATCACGAACCCTAACTTATCAAGACTAACCAATCATTATTGCTCCAGATTTGGTAATCAATGGTGAGAATAAGTATCAGAATAATCTTGATCTTCTCGAGGGGTTCCTGACATGATGTCGAAACCCATGAAGCGCTTGGTGGAGTAGAGCGTGAATCAAATATTTAGGCCCAAAATATCCAGGCCTCTGAAGACGACGATTCAGTCGAAACGTTAGGCCATTGAAATAAATGTTCCACCAATCCCTCGTAAGGCACAAGAAATTTAACAAACTTACAACTGACATGCCGAGGTTGCAAGAAGAGAGAAGTTGGAGTATAAGAATACTTTCACGTCAGCTCGCCTCCTTAGTGTTCTAGACCAAAGCGTTAAATTTAAGGGCCGGATCGCCCTCGAATTGGCGTGATATATTTTTAAGGAATTTGACAAGAATGCGTTAAGGAAAGTAAGGGAAGAAAAAGCACAAACTTGTTGCCGGTCGTGGTATGATGGAGAGACACAGCGCTGCGAGGAGAGGGAAAACACTGAGAGCAGAGGTAGCACTTGCCCGCGTGTGGATGCCAATGCCAACGCACACTTTTAGTATGGACAATGTTGCGACTCCTGTACTGGGGAACCCCTTTCTCACTCAAGGAGGGATGCTCCTCTGGCAGCCTAATTCCAACCCATGGCTACAAATTTATCATGTTGCCCCATAAGTGGTGTGAATTTTTTTTCCAAATAGAATTTTTTTGCTCAAATCTCAAGTTACAAGATTTTTTTGCTCAAATTCTCAAGTTACAGGGTCAATGTCAAAGACCTTCGGAGGAAATTTCTGTGCTCAACAAATGGCATGTATCCCTTCCGAATCCCTCCAAAACACGTTGAATTTTGGGTCTGCGAATTGGACGGTCCAGGAAACGAAAATTAGGCAGACCGACAACTAGCTCTAGCTCTACACTAAGTTTCAACACAAGGGGGATCTTGGCAGGGCAGAGGTGCATTGTGTGTTTGGAACCTCAAACCGATGCTTGCTTTTTCGCGTGCTGAACGGTTTTAGCAGTACACCTGGTTAATAAAAATGTTGGATTTAGAGTCCGTTCGGAAATGTCGGCCGCACCAGCCAGAGGAGCGGAAGCGGGCCCCAGCTTCGGACAACCCGGTTGGCGAGTGTCCCCGGGAAAGGATGGGACGGGTTGGCGAAGCGCGCGGGAAACAAATTGTTTAATAAGGACATCTTGTATGTTTCCAATCGGCGCCTTGGGCGCGACTGAGAGTTTTGCGCAATCAGAGGTTGGCGCGGCCGCCCCGCAGGCTGTTGTTGGCCTCAAAATCGGTTCTGAGCGAGCATTGCGAATGAGTATTATGACGTCTGATTTTGATGTTTAGGCGCGACCGATGTTCTACGCACCAAACCGTAGGCGCCAACCCAAATGCAGAAATTTAGTCGCCACGGAGGATCCGAACCCTTAACAGTACCTTATGCTTTCTTTTTTGGTACTGCTATAACCGTTCAGCGAAAATGTAAACATGGTTTTGCGTTCCATAATGCGTCCCTACAATATACACAAAACCGTTTTGAAAAAGCGCACCTTGCCCTGAAAGACCTCCCCGAGAGGATATGAGGGTTGTAATTGATTACGGCGGAGAAAGACTACCAAGCGAGAAGAAGGGGGCAGCCGCCGAAGTGGGGAGGTTATGGGTTGAGGCTAGGAAACTCAGGTATGACGGGATTATTAGCTTCATCAGGTGTGAACAGATTACAAATGTCATGTCCACCGCATGTGATAGCAGAGGGGGCGCAACTGTTTTAAGATTAGGTCGCGGTGTTCAGTTGTACAACATTGCTTGGTTTAAATTTTTTTTCCGTTTTCAAAATTCGGGTTTCCCGCGCAGACTCGATGGGTACACTATCGCGTCAGATCTAGGTCCAAAGATTTCAACGGAGGCATTAAAAAGTAAAAAAAAATGTCAAGAGCAAGTCATGACAAGTGTTTGATATGTATGCGTGAGTGACTTTATCATCTTCTAAGGGAAGTTTTTTTCGAAGGTCATTCTCGTGATTTGGCCATTTTATCACATAGGCCTGAAACCTGACCTAATTAACAATGAAGATTGGAGCAAAACATGTGTACGAATAGAGCAGAAAAGGCGACGTCACGGGCGATATAAAACATGGAGGTTTCAGAGAAAAAATTCGGCTTCAAAAACCGCCACGGCTTAGCGGTCAGAAATCAAATTCGAGAAAGAAGGACGACAAGGCTTTTCCGAGAACCTATTAGCGGAGTGGAGTGTTTGCAAGAGGTGGCTATTAATTATTAACTACATTATTGCCTAGATTTTCCCTAGTGGCAAGTAGGCTCAAAGCTTGTTGCCAGTTGGTAAGCTTTCGACGACTAGACCTTCCCATTCGCAAGCTTGGCATTCAATGCTTTGCTGAACTTGTGGGAGTGAAACAACACTTTTCGTAGGAGCAGACAAATCCCTTTCGAATGGCATATGAAATTATGTGAAAACAGGACTTCACGAGGAACCTTCCTTTAGAGAAATCACATTACTCATATGACGACCTGCGAGATGTCTTGGGGAGCAGTGTTTGGAGCAAGATATCAAAAACGAAGGAAGTGGAGGTACTGTCCCTTTCAAAAATGAGAAGAGCGTCGGGTGCAGACCATACACCACAAGTGACGACGGCCTCCAAGTAAATCTGGTTAGTAGTGGTTCATAGTGATAGCTGATTTTGGTAAATGATAGTTGTAATTAGTGACAACTGATAGAATACAACTGCAACAGGCTAATCATTTCATTGGCAGAAAACATTTACATGGAGGCCGTCGTCACTTGTGGTGTATGGTCTGCACCCGACGCTTTTCTCGTTTTTTGAAAGGGAATATATGTAGAGAGGTAAACCTGGTGGGCGGGGCGTGCACAGGCGAAGCTGAAATCGAATATTCGCAATAAAATTTTGGGAAATACTGGGACCCGGGTAGTGAATAAGGGCAAGAAAAGGGAGAAATTTGAAATGCACATGGTGTTTGGATCATGACGTCGTGTGATCGGGGTCAAAATTAACCCTAAACCAGGCTCTAAAGAGTGTGTGAAGTGCCCCGAAACTACATTGAAATCTCCCAGGACCAACCTACGGATCCCCTTAAAAATGACACCGTCATGACGTAGATATAGTACAGTAACCACACTGATGAAAAATGGATCTATTTTTAGTTTTTTCACAGAAGAATGAGCAAAAAAGTGTGATTGAAAGTGAATACGAGTTCACCCACTTTGATTGTGTTTGTTCAGCAAATTAGCTGAAGAAATGAATTCATCCCGCCCACCTTTTCATCTACTCAATGGCATTGCCCTCAACTAATTATGGCTAATAGAACCTGACAAAATTACGGAAAACTTGAAAGAGAAATTATATGATGGCGACTAGCATGAGCCATTCAAAGGGACGATTTTTTGTACTCTGCTAGTCGCTCTAAAGTATAACATGCTCTCTAGTGGTGTTGAGTCAGGCGTAGTTAGCTCGAATACATATCCCACAATTAGGTAAATTGAGCGATATCTCGCGGGTAGAACAGCTACCAAAAGCTGTGCCAGTGTGTAGAAAATCGAGGGTGTGTGACAGGTGCAAGGAGTTGAGAGTCTCACAATACCGGCTGTCGCCTTGATCTTTGTCTTTCCACCGTATCCCCGCGCTTGGGGGATACGGTGACTAATCAGAATATCGGGAATGGAATGCGATTTTTGAAGTTGAAGGAGACGATGTAAAAGATGACATAGATGGCACCCAAAAGTAGATCTTATTACCAGGGCTAGCCCATTTATCTCAAAATGCTGTATCTTAGAATCATTGAATTCACTAAATGTTGATTTAAACGTCATTTGAAGTTCCAAAATTTTATTTCTTAGTTCATTTGAGAGGGATAACGCAACACATAATACGCCTCCCAATTTCTAGGCGTTTTAAGTTGAGGAGGCCCGATCATAGGCTAGAAATAATGAATAGTTTTCGCGTTTTGTAGGCTCAGGAATGAATTGCCCTCTAATCTCACATCACGTGCCCACAAAGACGTGGGAAACTTCGCCAATATGTACGAAAGCTCACCCCCGTCGTCAGCTGTAACAAGTGAGAATGAAGACAAAATCCCACATTTGAAACGTAATTCATTAGATCTCGGCCACGGCACGCCTTTCACCCTGCCCACTATGGATGCACCGTTCGCAGCACAACGCGCATCTTTTCGCTCCTTTAAAGAATCCGATTCGCAACTTACGTCGCTCTGTGGCTGGGATCACTTGTGACGAAGACTCTTGCCAAATATGTCCCACAAGACGATGATGACTTTATAGCCTGGGTTCAAGGGCGTGATGGTAAAAACTCCACAGGAATCATTTCGTCAGGAAAAATCATCAACGATTGGGAGGATAACATGGTATCTACAGCTTGTCCGCCCTCATAAATGGATGGACTGGCGTCCTAAAACAACAACGGAGATCCAGACAAGGAACTGACAAGGACTAGCCGTTTTCCCACACTCTGATCAAGTACGTGGACTCCAGGACAGGTGATGTGGCCATGGTTCTTGGCAAAGGGATTGGACCGTCGGCAAGCAAGGCCGATTTCCATGGTGGTGGAGCCACTAACCCACTTGCTTCCGCTCCGGGAACAATCCGAGGAGACTACTGCATTCAGACGGGTCGTAATATCTGTCACGGATCAGATTCCATCGAATCTGCTCAGAGAGAAATCGCTCACTGGTTCAAACCTGAGGAGATCAACGACTACGATAGTCGTCACATCAACTCCGGAGATTAGAGTAAAACCTGCGTAGTGTTTTTTGTTACATTGTTTTAGGAGATAAACTATGCATGTGCGATAATCGCCTGTACTTGCTCTGTTACCCACGCTCATATCCCCCCTTCCTCTCTCCGACATTCATAGCGGTTTATTGTTGTCGTACGTTCACGCTTAGAGGCAAAAACGAGTAGAACGCGCTGCAGCTGGCAATAGCCACACCATAAAAAAACCACGATACCAGAGCGACTCGAAAGATAAAAGAACGGTTCCTCGTCATATTGTGGTGCATCTCATCGGTGATGTGAGCTCACGAGGTTGGAACAATTGGACCTGAGCGGAAAGAAAGAATAGCGGAAACAAAGACCAGAAGAAGCTAGATGGGGGGGATATGAACGTATATACGTAGGCTAATCCACTCATTGCACCCACATGTTCACCCAGTAGGTGCGAACACTCCGTCGTGGGCGAAGGTAATGTGCTAACTCTGAAGGCGTTAGACGGTAATAAGGAAGCCTGAGCTAAACATTGCTCCGTTTATGAGTTAATAGGCGCAGCGATTTTGTTTATTGCATTTGGCCGCGCTACGCATGCACAAGAAAAGTCGTCATTATTGACTTCGTTGCATGATAAAGGGCAGCAGCTGTCCGGTTCCGCTTTTCGTAAACAACAGATGCAAAAGTGGCAATTCGAAAATTTGCAGGCAACTCAAAAGCGGGCATACACATAGTGGGGCGAAAAATACTCCAGAAAACCTTGCGAAGGTAAATCATAGCAGTACAGTCGGTCTCATTTAGAATAGTCCGCGCCTCAGAAAGATAACCAGTCAGCCCTGCAGGGTGAGCAGTGCAGCATGAGCTGCTAGCCAGCCCACTGATTTCTCCTTTACTCAAATGTTGGATGCGACAATCCTACAAGATTTTCCTTGTTTTTTTTTTCAAAACTCGGTGGAAAATGTCAGTTAGAGTTCGTAAGACGAGTCTAATCAAACGTCTCTTCGGAGACACATTAAAGAAACGAGATTTTCAGCTATGAAGCGCGAATTCTACGCTTAAAACAAAGCAAACACTTATATGATAATTACTGTCAGGAATGTATTAACCGAAACTACAACGTCTACAGAAGACGCATTCATTGAAGCTACAATGTCCATGTCTAGAAAATATTATTTTTGCATGTTACTCGAAAACACACCACACAAAAGCGTTACGGCGGTATAGTCATGGTTAACCAGTTTTGAAATTACACGGCGCTCACCCTTACCCCCCTCCCTCTAGGAGGGCTTATATGCGACCTCCCGCCTCCGCATCCTCACAACCATAGCTGTCTTGATCTTGAGATCAAACTGCACACATCAAACCTGCACACTTTTCCTCCCACCCTCGAAAATGGCAGTGGGACGTGGGAGGTGTGGAGAAATGGAGAACAAAGGAATATTGGTTGAAGATGGACAAATGCTATAATTTTGCGACTCCGCCTTTTTTACGCTCCTTTTGAAAAGTTTTCTCCAAACACAGCGACAAGATCACTTATCAAGATTTTCAATATAGCCCTTTGACTCCATAAACAAGCACATAAAAGCCGAAATGCGGCTCTCCTCCAAGTACCCAAATACGACCCCACCTCCATTGGGAAGCGCGCACGGAAGGTTGTTCCTGGATACAATTCAGAAATTATTAGATTGTTGCGTTATAAATGCCGCACCGGATTTAGCTTCACCCCACTCGACTGACATCCAGAGGTACTTAAGCATTCATTCGAAAGAGGAAATCTAGAGTATAAAAGCGACTACTCGTTGCCCATATCATTTTGTTTTTTACATGAATTTTTCTTTTGAACGATGACTGACCGGAATTTCCGTGTGTACACGTGAATGTTCTACGACATCTTGAGGGGATGAATTTAGCTCACACGGAAGGTCTTCGTAAACAAAAATCGACCTACATCAAACCGTGCATTGGCTCGGCGAGAAAGAAAACAACGATTCATAAACTCACTTCACGACGAAAAAGCTGCATTTTACGAAAAAAAATCACCAGCAAAAAAGTGCGAGACCAGGCTGAAAACATTTGACTTCGCCGCCAAACAGCTCTGGTCACACTCCATCTATGTGCTGCGCATCCGAGTCAACGCGGCACGTTTTGAAGGAGAAACAGTTCAGAGAGTACAAAAAATTCGGAATCTGGGTGTCCATGTTTACCTGCGCACAGTTGCTACGATTCTTCGAGAAGGAAGTCGAGTCTCTGCGTGAGGAATGGCGAAGCCTGGCACAATAAGGTAGTATCCATCTCTTCTTCTGAGATGCCGAATTGTTGCTGTTCCAACAAATTTTGTGGTACGTCCGTTTGTAATGCAACAACCTAATAATTGAGCCTGCAAAAATGCGAACTCTATGAAACTGCTAGAATAGAATTTTGAACGTCCAGTCACCTCCTATCTTTTTTCGTTAGAAATAGTCTTCAATCAATTTTGCCCATGAACCAACTTCCAAGTGTCGACT